TGTGCCATCAGGGGCGTTCAGGTCCCTGCCAGACCGCAGCTCTGTATGTCTCCTTTTTTGGTATTTTCATGCAAATTCTTCTGCTAGTTGGGGTTTAGTCTACTTCTGTATCCTTCCCTTCAAGGCTCAGCGGTCCAAGATTATCCTCTGTGTCTGTGTCAATTGGTTTCCCTTTTATTTGTTGAAGAAGGTCTGTGCCGTCCTTCTGCCTAGTCCCCCATCTTGCCAGAACTCTACACTGTCATTTTTATTGCAGTAGATTTTTAGAAGTGCAAGTTAATTTTAAAAGTACATTGGTTTCACAGAAGTTAGGTTTATTAGGAAGCATTTGTTTGACAGACTCCACGGGCCTTAGAGAACACCATTGTCAACTCCTATCATGTTACTCATGACAATTCCTAGTCCCAAAAGAATAAGTGATGTTCCCAGAACTACAGATATGGTTTCTGAAGGGTCAAAATGTGAAGTAATTATCTTTTCACTAATTTTATTGAGTTTCTTACATTTCCTACCCCAAACTCATTTCAAGTTTTAGTTCAGTGTTTTGAATTCTATTCATCCACTAGGTGGTACTACTTAACCTTTACTGAGAAAATTATAGCAATAAATGATAGATTTTTAATTTTGACATTTGAAAAATGTATGTTTAATATTCTTGAAAGAGCCCAGAGTCATTTAAAACAGTAACTAATCTCAACTATTTTGTGGAAACAAGATCATTACTGAATATCTTAACTATACTCTAGTACAAGTGTTCACAAGTGTAAAAACATATATTTTGTATAAATTAATTTCCAAGAGGGAATTTTTTCCCTGAAATATTATTTCATTGTTTTTCTGAAATTGTCTGCAATCTTGTGGAATTGCAACATAAAATAATGTATTTAAGATCTTTTCTAAACATCAACTTTGTGTTTACATTTCATCCTTATTATTTTAAGTTGAATTAAATAATTTTGAACAAAGCTTCAGTTTCTAGACAGACAAGTTTTTTTCTGTAAGAACATTTGATAAATGAGTTACAGTTTCTCCCAGGTAGATATCCTCATGGATTTTCTCCTATTTGTTACATGTTGGAGAAGTGTTATCAGAAAAGGCAATTATAATCACCTTCTGTGGTAAATTGGATTTAATAAATACTTAGTACATATTTCTTAGATTGAATAATGCTAATATATATATATCTGTATATGTGTATGTACAGAGAGAATTTGAAATTTTAATTAGTTAATTCATATTGTAATTAATCAAGTTTCAAAAATGCTATTTCACCTTTCTTATCATTTTAGCCTATAATTAAATCAAGCTTATGTAGTCATATGTCTAGAAATATACTTTGTCCATATTACTTTGCTTTATAAATATGTTTTTTATTAGCCAAAACCTATAATATTTAGGAAGGAAAACATCATAAACTTTAAATTTTGCTTCTTGCATGTTTTATTTTATTTCTTGAGCAACCTTTTTAGAAAAGTGCAGGGAATAATATATAGATTGATAGAAATATACTTAAAATTAAATATTGAGATAGAACCAACAAGTTTATGGGTTATGTAATTCTTTGTTTTTTGTTTTCCCAGACATTGGAACAGTCTTGAAAGTTGTCAGCATCTCAAAGGAGAAATGGAATATGGAAGAGGTAGTATTGGAAGAGTTGCAAATATTCAAGGTGAGACTCATTCCAGACTTCTGGGAGGATGGATGGACACATTTGTTTTCATACACCATCATTCTTTTACTGGAGAAGTTTTTTGAATGAGCTACTTTATTTTTCTCCTTCCTAAGCAATGGAAAAAAATAAATTAGAAAAGTAACTCAACATACCTTCTTCTATTTCCCCCCCAACAATTATGGGGTTTGTTAGGGAAGTAGCAGTTACCATTTAGGTTCAGAAACACTCAGGATGTAATTCATCAGTCAGGATAGTCTCCACTTGGCTATGCTGCCAGGCACACCTCTCTTTGACCCTTGGCCTCTCCACCAGACCTCTGCCCTGCTCAGGTGAGTGTTACAAAGCTCTTTTAGCTCTGCCAATAGGTGCACCCTACTCCTCCAGCCAGCCTCCTGTGCAAAGGCAGTCAGCTTTCTCATTCCATGGGCCAGCAAGCCTGCTGTTCTGTCTCCTGCTGGTATATTGGTTCTGCTGCCTCTTCTGCCATCATTTCAGCACTGGTATTTTGGGTCCAAGGATACACTCCACTCTCAGCTCTTCTCTGTCTTCATGGCAGTGAGCTCCCCCTTTTCACCTCTAGGATTGCTCATTTTATTTATTTATTTTCATTTTAAGAGCTTGTTTTACATTTAACATTATGTGTACATTTAGTTTCATTCCCCATTTACTATGTCCAACCCTAACCCAGTCTCCTCCCCTCCCTACCCTGTAACCCTCCCCCTGTGCCCCTCATATTTATGCACTTCTATTTGTCCTACATTTCCTCATTTTGAATGTTGATCCTATGGTGTCCTATGGTTTATTGCTCTAAGGGATGTATCACCATAGAGTATTGGGGTCCATCATCCTGGGTTGAGTGGTCTGCATGTACATCTTGTTAACTATTGGGCTGAGGGTGTGTTTTATTCCAGGTGCAGAATGTATTCCAGGTCCATAGTATTGGGGGTCTCACCAGATTTCATCTGACCAGTAATTCTGGTTATTATTGAGTTTTTGGATTTTGTTCCATGTTTTCCCTCCCACTCTATCCAGGAGCTCCAGATTTGATCTTTTCCTGAGTTGTTGGCATTGGTATCCGGGCACCATCTAGTTCTTCTGGTCTCAAGGTCCATCATGTCCTATGACTGATTGCTTCCAAATGCCCTTTTTTTTTTCTTTCTTTTTTTGCGTTTTTCTTCTCTTCCAACACTAGGAGACTATTAGCTGCATCTTAGATGGCCACTTGAAAGCTTTTAAGACCACAGTCGCTACTCACCAGTGCAGGATGTAGCGCAAGGCTTTTATATATTTTGTTGTGCCAATTGCGTATGGTGTCCCCCAGTACTATGGTCCTGAGGCGGTAGATCTATTGGATCTCTCTCCCATAGTGTCTGGCTGTCTGTGAGTGATTACTCTGTGTCTGTCTTCCACTGGTTTTGTAAGGACTGCAGGTATTTTGTATCACTGGTATCTGTGCAAGATTAGCCTCAGCTGAATCTTTCCTTGGTCTAGAGTATGCTCCTGTTCACTGACCCCCGTCTGATCATCTCAGGAACACACCTTCTTCTAAATGAGGCTCACTGAATCAGGAGTTCCTTTGATTGCTCCTCATTACTGCGTTCTCTAAGCATGTCGTCAGACAGATTAACACATTAGATGAAAACCTGAGGTCTCTTTTACTATACAGATGCTTTTCTACTTTATACATGTTCCTTCTCAATGTTTCCCCAATTGAATTTGAGAAAATTGTAAGCATATATAAATCATGTATCCCTGCCACTCTCTAAGGAAATTTTTAAAGAACAGAGGAGAAGAGGTTGCATAATAATAAGTCTTCATGTATGGCTAGATAACCCCAATCTCCAAGAGTTAGTAGATCAAAAATAATAGTTTGTAGGTTTCAGGAATTTCTTTGATTATTTACATTTATGTTGTGTCATTCTGTGTAGTTCCTCAATGAAATTTAAATTATATTCTGAAAATAACATAAGAAATAAAACTGTTTCTTAGGAAAGAGCTTTTAAATATATGCTGTGCTTTTACAACCTTAGAGGTGAAACAGCTTAGTTTAAAAATGGACTGTTTCCATTTAAACCTCTATTGCCTTAAAAGAGAGTCAACCTCTCCACTGTTAGGGGCTTAAGTTAATTGACTTGCTGGTTCCACAGGATCCTGTTTACATTGTGAAGATAATAGTGGTCAAGGAGTTAACAAGAACAAGACTTGATATCTGACATCTACTGAAAAACAAAATTTTATGTGGTTCCTAAGGGAAAGCCTGATCCCAAATATAAATGTGAACCCAGAGGCTGAAATCAAGTATCCATAATACATATAGGCAGACTAGACTCTTATTCAATGGTTTTTAGACAGACATGAAGAAGAACTGTTTGGAATCCACAGTTAAGATTCAATAAGCACCACGTTTTCTTAATTCATAGTTCTTTCTCACATTAAAATTTTTGTTTTATGCATTTTTCAGAAGTCTTTAGCATTTGCTAACTATTTTTCTATTAGTAAATACTGGCTGTTGAGAAATTAATGAACAGCAATAGATAGATAGAAAGAGGCTTAAACACATGCCATCTTTTTCAGTTTGGAAGCTTTTGTGTTCATGCTTCTGATTTTATATTGCATTTATAGAGCCATATTTTCTAAAGATAAAATTGGCCGTTGTTCATATCATATCATGTGCATCAGTATCTTGTACTGCTTTTTAAAGACCATGGTCTTCCACAGGAGCACTATAACTTTTCAGAGCTCTGCTACTTGAACAAGTTTTTGAGACACTGATCTAGTAAGAGCAGAAAGAGGTAATAAATAATTATGGAGATGTTCTTGTCAATGTTAGTTTAAATTACATGGAAGCAGTTAAGCAGATTTAGAAGGAGAAACATTGTGGGCAACTGGGAAAACTTTTCATTGCAGTGTTTCCTCATACATTTATGTGAATAAAGAAATACCTATATACAACTCATAGCAACCTCTCCTTGGGTTTCTGAGGAGGTATTTCTACAGTGGATTGCCCAATTTTCCTTTCGAGGAATGGTTGGTGGGTTTGAACTGCCAGCCTTGGCTTAGCAATCAAATGCCTCAGGCACTACGTCATCAGCGCATACATATATATCTATGTATATATGTGTGTGTGTATGTGTGTGTGTGTGTGTGTGTGTGTGTGTATATATATATATATATATATATTTGTTGTTGTTGTTGTTGTTATTTGTCGTCAAGTCGGTCCCGACTCATAGCGACCCCTCCTTGGGTTTCCGAGGCGGTATCACTATGGAAGTAGGATTGCCCAACCTTCCTTCCAAGGAGTGGCTGGTTGGTTTGAAAAAAAAAAAAAATATTATATATATGGCGGAGAATGATGAAAGTACCATGGATTGCTGAAAGAACTAACAGATCCGTCCTGGAGGAAGTGCACTCAAAATGCTCCTTGAAAGCGAGAATGGCCAGACTTCGTCTCACCTATTTTGGTCATGTCAGAAGGGACCATTCCTTGGAGAAGGATGTCATGCTTGGTAGGGTGAAAAGTTGACGAAAGAAGGGGAGGCCTTCAATGAGATGGATTGACACAGTGGCTGCGATGATGGGCTCAAGTACAGCAGGGATCATGGAGATGGCGAGGAATTGGGCAATGTTTCATTCTGCTGTTCATGGGGTTGCTATGAATCAGAAATGACTCACGGCACCTAACAACAACAAAAACATACATATATATATTTAATAGCATACTTTAAAGTAACTACTTTGATCTTTTCTATTAAGGTGGAATCATTACATATTGGAAGAAGATAGAAAATAGGAACATTCTTTGCTCCCCTATAGAACCTTAACATTTACTTCAACAGTCTTTTGTACAAGATAAAACAACATATCACTTAACGTAAAATCTTACTAATTATTTTCTTCATTGACATTTTATTTCTATTTTCAGCACTCATCAGTCATCTTGAACATGGAATTGTCCTTGAAGCAGGTAATTTCTAATTTTTGTGTAAAAATTAACTACAGAAACAATAAGTTTCTTAAATCTAATTTATTTGTAGGGAAAATCCATTGAAATTGGAAATTAACTTATAAATGATGTAAAGGCTTTAGATTACTTGTTTCATTTTCATTGGTTAGAGACCATTGCTTCAGATTTATGTATGGAACCAAATTTCATTAATTGAATAATTCATTTTTTTCCTTCCTCTGGCTCTTGAAAATGTGGCTTCCATTCTTAGGTTTGTAATGATGCTATTTTTCTGTAAAAACCATAGAAATACATATAAAATATCATCCCTAACCATTAATTTTTGTTATTATTTTTAATCTTAGAGTCACTGAGGTGACAAACAATCCTAGAGACAACCACTTAATATCTGATTACCAGAATCAATTTCCTCAACAGTAAAATTAGAAAAATAATTACTGCCTCTTAAGAGTGTTGAGAGTTTAAATGAGATGCCTGCCATAGGCCAAGTTTCAAGTAGAAACCTGGCACAGTATAACTGTTAAGTAAATTATAATAATGATAATAATAATTAATATTATTTCACATTTCCTGGTATAAGACTGCAAATCCCAATTGATAAGGAGATTTCAAAATGCATTGTCATTTCTATATGCATCCCCAAGATTTAAGAATGTCATGTGATACTATGTGCATGCTAAAGTGTTGCTACAATTGTTTTAATCTACTCTACCTAGTACAACACAGCAATTATTAGGGAAAAGATCTAAATATACTTTCCTTTGAGGCCTTTATCTGAATTCTAACTAGAATAGAACTCATGAGTCAGCCCAAAAATATAATGCCCACATACATACTTGCACATGTGTCTTTTCCATTATTTAGCCAGTTGATCACTCACTGGTTTTCAGTTTCCATTCATTTGTTCATTCTTTCAACATTTATTTCTTGAAAGCCTATTCTGTGCTTGGAGAATACATAAATGAATAAATGACATGCCACTTGTTGTTCTTGGTAGGTGCCATAGAGTCTGTTTCAACTCATAGCAACCCTATGTACAACAGAACAAAACACTGCCCAGTAGTGCACCATCCTCACAATCCTTGCTGTACTTGAGCCCATCATTGCAGCCACTGTGTCAATCCATTGCGTTGAGGGTCTTCCCCTTTTTTGCTGAACTTCTGTGTTATCAACCATGTTAGCTTTCTCTTGGGAATGGTCCCTTGTCTGCCAGTGTGTTGTACTGTGGTGGCTTGCATGTTGCTATGAGGCTGGAGGCTATACCACTGGTATTTCAAATACCAGCATGGTCACCCATCGTGGACATGTTTCAGCAGACCTTCCAGACTAACATAGACTGGGAAGAAGGAAGGTGCCATCCACTTCTCAAAGAATTCTTCAGTGAAAACCTTATGAATAGCAGTGAAACGCTGTCTGATGTTTTATTGGAAACTCTGTGAATAGCCCTGAATTGTTGTCTGATACAGTGCTAGAAGATGAGCCCCTCAGGTTGGAAGGCATTCATATATGGCTGGGGAAGAGCTGCCTCCTCAAAATAGAGTCAACCTTAATGACATGGATAGAGTAAAGCTTTCAGGACCTCCATTTGCAGATGGGACATGACTCAAAATGGGAAGAAAATACTGCAACCATCCATTAATAATAGAGACTTGGAATGTACAAAGTATGAATGTAGGAAAATTGGAAGTTGTCAAAAATGAAAGAGAACACATAAAGATCAATATCCTAGGCATTCGTGAGCTAAAATGGGCTGGTATTCGCCATTTTGAATCAGACATTATATGATCTATTATGCTGAGAATGACAAACTGAAGAAGAATGACTTTGCATTCATCATCACAAAGCATGTTTCAAGATCTATCCTGAACTACAATGCTATCAGTGACAGGACAATATACTCCATATGCCTATAAGGAAGACCTTGTACTTGGAAAGAGAGATATTATTGCTGATGTCAGATAGATGTTGGCTGAAAGCAAAGAATACCAGAAAGATGTTTACTTGTGTTATATTGACTATGCAAAAGCATTCAGTTGTGTGGATCATAACAAATTATGGATAACACTGAAATGAATGAGAATTCCAGAGCACTTAATTGTGCTCATTAGGAACCTATATATAAATCAGGAGGTTGTCATTCAGATAGAGTGAGGAGATACTGCATGGTTTAAAATCAGGATAGGAGTGTGTCAGGATTGTATCCTTTCATCATACTTACTCAATCTGTATGCTGAGCAATAATCCAAGAAGTTGGATTATATAAAGAAGAACCAGCATCAGGATTGGATGAATACCCATTAACAACCTGCGATATGCAGACAACACAACATTGCTTGCCGAAAGTAAAGAAGTCTTGAAGCACTTACTGATGAAGAATAAAGACTACAGTCTGCAGTATGGATTACACCTCAATATAAAGAAAATTAAAATCCTCACAACTGGACCAATAAGCAGCATCATGATAAATGGAGAAAAGCTTAATTGTCAAATATTTCATATTACTTGGATCTGCCATCAATGCCAATGGAAGCAGCAGTCAAGAATCAGATGACATATTGCCCTGGGCAAATCTGCTGCAAAAGACCTCTTTAAAGTGCTAAAGAGCAAAGATGTCTCTTTGAAGAGTAAGGTACACTTAATCCAAGCCATGGTGTTTTCAATTGCCTCATATGCATGTGAGAGCTGGACAATGAATAAGGAAGACCAAGAAGAGTTGATGCTTTTGAGTTGTGGTGTTGGCGAAGAATACTGAACATACCATGGACAGCCAGAAGAACTAGCAAATCTGTCCTTGAAGAAATGCAGCTGAATGCTCCTTGGAGAATGGCCAGACTTCTTCTGACCTACTTTGGTCATGTTGTCAGAAGGGACAATTCCCTGGAGAAGAATGTCATGCTTGGTAAATTGGAGGATCAGTGAAAAAGAGGAAGGCCCTCAATGAGATGGATGGACACAATGGCTGCAACAATGCTCTCAGGTATAGCAAGGATTGTAAGGCTGGCAAAGGACCTG